GTTTGCTTGGCAAAAACAACCAAATATTTGTGCAGTACATAAGTTTTTAGAACCGGCGTTCAAGCGAATTAAATTGCTTTCAAATGACGTATCAATTGAAATTACTTTTGAAAATTTTCGATGGATGGCATTCTTGAGTTATTGAATACTGCTAATTTTACTCAATGTGATTCGGTAATAAGCTTCCGTAATCGTATACGCCATTCTTGGCGCGATCTTGGCGTCTAGAATAGACGGATTATTTTTGAAAACGCATTGAGAACTATTTGTGGCCAAGGATAAATATATCGACAATCGTTATATGATTAAAAGTCAATGTTTCTTTCACAGTGTTGGTGCGTTGTCTGCGTAGCGCAATCAAATCGTAAAGAGATCGGACAAAATTCAAGTTTCAAAGAAGTATTTGATTGTAATTACATTTTATTCGAGATTATTTTATTATAAAGACATATCGATAATTAAAAATATTAACAGAGAGATAAAAGTTCGATATAGAGTAAGAAATTCTTTATTGTTGCTTCAATGAAATCGAACATCCGACAATCGCGATTTCAATAACATGTAGACATGTGTAAGAGCGTGTTACGGAAATAATGGGGTGATCCTGTGGTTGCCCAGGGTGACGTTTAAATGCGCATAGTCAAGTAGACTGGTGGTCCATATACTGACGTGCACGCACGCACACACGCATTTACCCGCGCACACAAACACATACATTCGATCGGACCTACAAATACACGGATATCCGCGGAGACCCGAGATATCTAACCGGAGCCGGAAGATAGAGTGTATCCTAACGATCGGTCTTGTCTGAATAATTCTCGGATAAGTTTCGTACGTGTGGAGAAAGTGAAGTCGCGTTTGCATCTCTACAACCTTATTACAGATCGCGCTCCATAGGTAGAAATTTACTAGAAATGTCGCCGACACGTTTCGCCTCCGCAACTTTTTGAGAACTATGTTTTCTACGGTGCATTCGCGATAACAGACAAACTACTTTTGATTATTCTCTGTTCATAATAAATGATGAGAAGATGAGTACGTATAAAATAAAAACAAAGAGAATCACAATTAAAAAAAAAACCATCATAGCAAAATAATTGGTGCCTGTTTAACATGATAGGAATTTATTCGCTACCTTCCTCCGTTCATCTCCTTCACGTCACTACAGTGTTTCAGAGAAACTATGTTTCAAGCGTTTCTCTTGACGCTGATATTATATTACACGGAAAAATGCTTTGTAAGCGCTACTACCAAGCTGCTGTAGCTAACGTGGTAACCAACAAGAAAACAACACAGCTTCGTGTCGTAGCTTCTGACGAACAATTTGGCCATGAGCCAGTCTGATTTCTGGGGCTAACGACATTGGAATATTTGTCGAGTAACTCGTCCGACTATAAAAGACGTTCGCGTTCCGAGGTTTGCAGGAACAGAAGTAAAAATACATACGACGTATTATTGGTCTGTACATATTTTCTGAGAAAAACTAATATTCGAAATAAGAAACTCGCATTATAATTGAATATTATTTATACTAATTTCATTACGCGTAATGAACATAGTATAATATCCGACCATATTGTCCAGTCCTATACATATCGGATTACAATATCAGATTGTATGCATAATTATTGACTCATTGAGTGCAAAATAGTTGCCGAATCTATATATTAATAGGAATTATTGGTTGACCGAAATAAATCTACATTAACAATTACATTGTTATCTGAAATCAGTCAGTGAAATTAATCTGCTGGTTCATCCAATGCATTTGATATCTCTACGTGTAAATACAATATCTTAAGAGAGAGAAAGAGAGAGAGAGAGAGAGAGGGAAACTATATTCTGATGCGGTACTCATTGATTTTATCAATTCATTAAAAACACATTCTTTTTCTCTTTTCTGATACCAACAGGTTTTTTTATCTACCATTTTATAATATTACTATTAATTATTGATTATTCACAATAAGAAGAAAATTTACTTTCTTGTTTCAGGATATAATACAGAAAAGTAGCAACTTTTATACTATGTTAATAAGAAATGCAAATAAGATTTAAATTGTATGAATCATAAAATTAACAAGCGTTTGTGCAAAAAAGATCCCTAGATAATATTATGCCGGCGAGCGTGTAAAGTTTCCATTCTCTAATATAACTATTCGAGCATCTCTATCAAGCTTTATCTTTAGAAATTTCACGAGCACGGCTATCAAATTCTCTTCCCGTCTTCCTTCCGTACCGTCCCTCATTTACTTAACATATATAAGTGTGTTCGCTAACGGTTCACCGCGTTTGGCTTCTCTTGTTTCAGCTGACAAAGGTATGCTGCTGAAGCTTGACTTTCGGGATGAGTTCAAACTGGAAGACAGTCCGGGTTGCCGTTTCGATTTCCTCGAGGTACGTGACGGCCAGTACGGTTACTCTAATCTCCTCGGCAACTTCTGCGGGACGAATTTTCCCCCCGAGATCACATCGAAGACACGATATCTCTGGCTGCGATTCCGCAGCGATGAGAACATTGAGGGCAAGGGTTTTAAGGCTGTGTGGAACATGATACCGAGACCGACCCATCGTAAGTCTCAGAATCAACAAAGTTTCTATACCTCGCGAAAACTTTCCTTCTACATTTTTGATTAATTTTCATTGGAATTTAATTTCAAGCGTAAACCAATAATTACTAAATTTTTATAACAACAAATAAACAATAAGTAATAACATGTGTTACGTTGTTTTAAAAAAAGAATATTCTAAAAAATATTTTAATAAGTGTCTTAAATTGTTTTCTTGTGTAAGTAACAATTTCTACGTTATATAATAGCCATATATATATATATATATACAAACACATCTATTTCCAATTTATTTTAAACATTTAAAAATTGACAAATATTTTTGAGAAAAATTGTTTTGGGAGATTTTCTTACTGGATCTATTGAGATCATAAATTTTATTATGTGTCTAGTCGCTTCTGCTTCCTTCTTCTTTGCATGTGCCAAGAAATAGTTTCTGCCATCGGTTCCATCGGAGTCGGATCTACTGTCGGTTATTCTCTTCTCGAGATCCGAGGCTCATATATCCTTTGAATCCTTAACCGCGGATCATTAAACCGATCGATAATAAGTTCGAGATCTTACCTTAGATCTTTTTGCTTTTCATGCTTATGTTCATAATTCTCGTAAACGCGACGTGAAAAAATTCGTTACTAAAGTAATTAGCCTAACATAACATATTTGTTCGTGCTAATCTAATAACTCGCAGTCACACCTTAATTGGTGCCAAATAAAAAATAACCGTGCAGAACACGCCATTTATTCAAAGCGAATAATTAAAAATTTTAAAATAAAGAAAGAAAACAACGAAATTTTTCATGTAAAAAAAACAAAGAAAAAAGATAACATCCATGTTTATAATAATATAGAGAAAAAATAATAATAAAACGGAAATGCTTCAATTTGATATTAACATATATATCGTTATAATTGCCCGATTGAAATCAAATTAAATTAAGTGAATGCAATTTCTCGTCGCGATCGTGTTGTAGCGAGACAGAGAAAAGAAAGAAAATTGGAGATAGAATAATGAGCGTGATGACAATTGAATACAATTCGGGGACGAATATATTGATTGTGAATATTCAAGGATTTTCATCGAGTGTTCTTATTCAGAAAATTACGAGACACTTCGGAAATAGATGGCCTGCGACAGTAAGAGCTGTGCAGCCGCGACCGAGACCAAAATTAATTCATAGTCAAGCAGGAGAACGAAGAGGAAGGTCTATGAATACACGGAATACAAACGCGATGGTTCTGGTCTTAACCGGGCGTCGTCCTTAAATCGATATACAGTTTATATAGTAGAGACGGGTGCGGCTAGTGCGTCGAAATACTGAACTTTTTATCTCGCAATTGTGTGATTAACTCATTCGTTACAAAATTTCAATATTGATGCCCAGTATTAAAACATTTCAAATTGCAGACGCTATTTTTTTAATATTGTCATTATCGTATTTTTGTTAGTAAATATTTATATTACACAATATTTTTAATTAAGAAAAATTAATGAAATACGTATCAAAAATCAATGCTACGCTTTATTTTTTATGTGTTATGTATTTTTAAATATTAAAAAATTGTAAAGAAAAGAATAAAGCAATATAATATTGCATATTGAACAGACATATTAACGATATCTTATGGTTTCACGACAATTAAACTGTCTTTTAATGTCCAATTGTTTTTAGATATTTAATATCCAATCCACCGCTAATTTTTATTTTAAACTGCCCAATTTGTTTTACATTAATTTTTGTTATAAAGCATTTGTTCTATTATTAAAGGTATTACTTGTTTTAATAATATTTTGCGAACAAATTTTGGCAAAAAAATGATACTCTCGCTAGAATCGAATTTTTAACATTCGACGGATTTAATATCACGTTGCTATGATTTTTCTATACAAAGATATCGTTGATTGTATCCAGTCACGATCGAGAAACTAAGGCTACTATACTGTGACTACTTGTCGAGCATGCGTGTGATAAATAGTTGTCTGGGGATTGGTATGTAACAGCATACCATATGCATAGAGTGGTATAGCTTTCATTCATTATTTATGGAAAAAACTATCTAAGTGCGTTAGCTCAGCAAAAATTTACATAAAAGTGGGAAACAAAAATAAATCTTCTGCGCTTATATATCTTATTACGTGCACGAATATAGTTTTTATAATGCACAGTAAAGAGTATTATAAAATAATATATTACAAAGAGATCATATATTAAGAAAAGTAGCTTTTCATCATATATTATCATCTTGTTAAGCTCAATAAATTTTTAAATTCTTCTATAGCATATTCTCTCTCTCTCTCAATCAATATTAGATAATTTTTATTATATTAAATCTCTCTCCAAATAATATAATATAATGTAATGACATGAATATATATAAATATTAATACACACGCGCGAACATTGACATGTGAACCTAGGGAAAGTGTAGAACTATAATAGGTGTGATTCACAGCGGGTGTGCCACCAGAACCAGAACCGTGCATAGTTAACGTGACGGGTGCGCAAGCGATAATTCAAAGCAGCGACGTCAAAGGCAGGATGACCCTGGCCGAGAAAGAGGGTTTGCCGGTGGATTGCATGTGGATTATTCGAGTGAAAGAAGGATGGAAGGTAAGAGATATTTTGTAGTATCTCTTTAATATATTTTTATGAATTTATAAATTGAAGAACAAAGTATATTGTTGCACGTTGTCGAAAGTTTAATATCGACGAGTTAAAGTATACAAAGCATTTCTTTCAATACTTCTCTACCGCCGTATAATGTTGCAATTTTTATTTGATTCTAGTACACTTTACTACGGTATTCAATCGATGCGAATGTTTGTTATTGGCCTGCAGCAACGTGATTTCAAATGGCATTTTGTTCAAAGTAACGCATTTTTGAATGATTTACAATCGGTCTCTGTGTCGCCGTAGCGCGGAAATATAACGGTTTTACGTGTGAAATACTTTGTTTATAGTATATCGGCTTACAGTATCCGTTACAAAATTTACATCGCGACAGATAACGGCATATGCTTCAACGTAGAAGAATTCTTTAGTTTGCAAAACTTTGTTATTAAAATTATAAATGAAGACCCCTATTTCTTTCGAGCGTCTTCTAGAACTATGTATAAAGTTTTTCCCGGCATGACAAAACCCGTGGGCAAAGAAGCTGTATTCTCACGCGTACTTTTTATGAGCTACGACATTGTCGAAAAGTTTCACAAGCTTCAGGCTCAAGCCCGATACGTTATGCATACCTGAGAATTCTTTGCGGGTACTTGGCATTTTTCGCGGTTTTCGGCGCACCTTCGAAATCATTTTGGCATCACTTTGAAAGCATTTCACGGCTGTTTTGTTTTACGACAATATGTGGCTACGTTGTTTAATGGAATTTTTTGAATGGTCAGTCTATTCCTCGGCCTCGGTTGCCAAAGGGTAATGAAAATCAGGGATAAGTGCATGCGCATGTTTGTATACATGCGTACATATATATTGAATTGTGTATGTGCGCGTGTGTGCGCGCTTAAAAAAGTGGGAACACGTTGAATTTTCAGATCCAGCTGGCGTTCCCAGATTTTAAGCTACAGCGACCGAATGAGTGTGACGCCAACTTTATCGACATATTTAGGGAAACAACGGATATGTTCTCGAGGGAGAAGAATTTTTGTAGCAGCGTGGCCGATCCTACTACCATTCGCGGCAGTATCGCCCATTTAAGATTCTATGCGGAACCGAAGGCTATAAACAGCACCTTCGAAGCGGTGATGACCGCCTTTAGAGATAAGGATAGTGATAAAGGTGAGTCTTTTCAAACACACACAATAATAGATACATATATTTCCGGCTAAATGCATTTTTGAAATGACACACATAGACACGCAATCATGAATTTGTCATTAAAATTTCTATTTTTATATCGATTAATGTCATACAATGCATATTAAATTAAAACGCTATCACAAATTTATTATTAAATATTAAAGCATATAAAAGCTGAAAGAGAAATACTAAATTGTGGCACAAAGCGCACAATTATCAATTTATGACCGTGAATTTAACATTTACTGTGCATTTTTATAGTAATCATTAGCAATATTTTTATGCTAACGATAAGTATATATAATAATTTTTTTAATATTTTTATTTTAATCTTTTTTGCATAGTTTATATTTTATGTTTAATAATTATTGTGTTATCAAAAGTTAATATTATTAAAATAAAATATCTTATAGGAAGCTATTTATATGCATGAATAATTTTATAATTATGAAAGTGAAAAGTTAATTAATTTTCAACAGTAATTATATTAGATACATTTATCAAAAACGTAATATATAACGTAATATATTGTGCTAATTAAATTACATTTAAAAGCTCTTTATATATATATATATAAATAATACGAGAGCCATGATAAA